AACAGGTAGAAGATGAAAGAACTAATGGAAGCAATATAACTATTTTAGTAATCATCAGGGGAATGTGAAAAGAAGAATTTTAATAGTATGGAAGCCACAAGAGTATGAGGTTAAAGTATTATTATCAGATGAACAATTGGTGCATTGTGATGTCTGGTATAAAAGCAAAAAGTGCAAGTTTATTATGATAGTTGTATATGGTGATCGTAAGGCAAGCCTTTGAAGTTAGCTATGGTAGCAGTTGATGACTATAGAAAACTCTATGCAACAGAATTGGATAGTTACAGAGGATTTTAACAGCATACTAAATGAAGATGAGAAGGTGGGAGGAGTAGCAAAAACAAGCACGTATACTGATCTATTTCAAATGACTATGGATCAGTGTCAACTATGGGATATGAAAACGCATGGAGCAACATTTACCTGGAGTAACAAAAGGGTGGGAGGTGGTAGAATTTTAGCAATTGGATAGAGTGATGAACAATGAATGCTAGATTAACCAATATGAGAAGAGCTTTGCAACTCTGTTACAACCTGGTGTCTCAGACCACTGTCCAATACTTATTCAGTGGCAGCAGGAAGTACAAAAGAGGAAAACAGCTTTTAATTCTTCAACATGTGGTGTCAAAACCCACAACTTAATTGTTGAACATTGGAAGTGGCAGGTAAAAGAATGTAAATAGTTCCAAGTTATGAAAAAATAGCAAAGGCTAAAAGACAAGATGAGAGAGCTAAATAGGACAAGCTTCTCACAGATTGAGAAATAGAAACAAGAGAGTAAAGAGAAGATGGAGGAGGTGCAAAAAATTCTAGTGAAAAATCCCCGAGATGTTGAACATCAATAAAAAGAAAAGGAGGCAGTGACAGTACATATGAAAAAGAGCAAAGTAGTAATTAGTTTGTGGCAACAGAAGTTGAAAGAAACATGGGTGAAAGAGGGTGATCTCAATACATCATATTTCCATGCAAGCTTGAAAAGCAGAAGGAACTATAATATAATTATTTCATTCCAAAATGAGGCTGGTGATCTTCAAGTCGAATGGAGTAAGGTGGAGGATCATTTCGTAATATTATAAAAATATACTGGTTAAAGAAGAGAAAAGAGTTCATGAAAAAAAGAAGAAGCTATATTTGATGCTGGAAGAAGATTGTCAATTCAGCAACAATACGGCTTGCGTGAAGTTACGAAAGAGGAGGTTAAGATAGCAATATTTGATACAGACAACAACAAGAGTCCAGGCCCTGACGGATTTGGAAGCAAGGTTCTACAGGTTTGTTTGGAATACTATAGGGAATGATATAGTAGATATTGTTTTAGAATTTTTCCACACTGAAAATATTTTGAAGCAACTTAATACTACAATCATTTCACTAATTCCTAAGGTGGAGATACCAAAAATGCCACAGACTACAGACCTATCAGCTGCTACAACACCTTGTACAAGTGTATCTCTAAAACATTGTGTCAGCGACTGAGTCAAGTACTCCCTTATTTGGTTGAGCTAAATCAATGTGCCTTTATACAAAGTATAAAAACTATATATAATATTCTGTTGACTCAGGAATTCGTAAGACTTTATAAAAGGGAAAATGTAAAGCCCAGCTGTATGGTGAAATTTGATACATGGAATACTTATAATTCTGTAAGCTAGGAATTTGAAGAGGAAATGTTGATAGTTTATGGTTTTCCTTATAAAATTACTGGTTCGGTTATGGAATATATTACTAGTTGTAGCTATTCCTTAAACATGAATGGTAGTAGCGCGGGGTATTTTCAGGGCAAAAGAGGACTTAGGCAAGGTGGTCCTATCTCCCTTTTGATATTTGTTATGGTGATGGATTACCTAACTTGGTGATTTAAAGTGGAAGTAGAAGGAAAAGAGCTCAAAAATATCATCATAAATGTGGTAAGCTGCAAATTACTAATTTAGGGTTTGCAGAAGATCTAATCATCTTGTGCAAGGCAGAGGAAAGCTCGATAAGAAGAATCTAAGAAGTATTGTAGCATTTTGGAGACAAAATTGGATTAAGAGCGAACCCGAGTAAATCCGATTTGTTTTGTGCTGGAATTGATGAGGAGCTGAAAAGCAGGTTACAAAGTGTCATGGGTTTTGAAATTGGTAGTTTCCCTATGAGATATTTAGGGCTGCCAATTTCACGCACCAAATGGAATCACACAGACCATCAGCAGCTGGTTGACATTTTTTATATTGGGGAAATACCTTTCTTTTGTCAAAGGAAGTGATATCCCAAATAACATGTCTGTAGGGAGTTTCTATGGGAAGGAATGAAACTGGAAGTAAAATGGCTTTGGTTGCTTGGGAAAAATGTATGTAGGTCCAATAAAGAAGGGGGATTGAATATTAGGGATCTAGGACTTTGGAATCAGCTTGCTATTACAAAACAAACATGCGATATAGCAGCTGAAAAGAATGTAGTATGGGTCAAATGGGTGCATGCATGTTATTTGAAAGGGAAGAAGATGTGGGAATATGAGCCACCGACTGACTATAGTTGGCATTGGAGAAAACTTATGGTGATCAAACAGAAACTAAAAGAAGGGATTGATGCAGGGATATGGAAGCAGGGGGAAAAGAGTACAATGTGAAAACATGCTACAATCAATGGAGAAGCAAAGGGCAACAATTTGTAGCAACGGATAGAATATGCATATCTAAACATAGTTTTCTTGCTTGGCTTGTTTGGCAGGAAAGAATTCTAACGGTGGAAAGAATGCAAAGGATGAATATCACAACAAACAAGATGTGTTCTATGTGGGGAGGTTGTAATAAAAGAACTGTGAACACATGTTTTTTGAATGTAGATACTCTGAACTGATGCTGAGGGAATTGACGGAATGGCTGGGAAATAAACTGAGAGGAATGAAACTGAAGCAAGTGCAAGCAAGGATAATATATGGCTATCAATATAGAAGAATGAAAAGGAACTTAGCAAATGGAGCTGTGGTGGCCTGTGTGTATAATATTTTGATGGAAAGAAATGACAGGAGATTCGAGCAGAAAAATAGAACTGCTGAAGACAGAGTTGGATGCATCAAATGGGAGCTGAATTGGAGGATTCAACACACTTGTAAAAAGTTGAAAGTAGCTAACTTAAAGTATTTTAGCAATAGTAGGAATCAATGTATAGATAGTTGCAGAAGGAAAATAGTCATAGAGTAGGAAAAATGAGACAAAGATGTATATGTAAAGGAACACAAGTTGAGCAATATAATTCACAATTTACAATATATATATATACATATATATATATATATATATATATATATATATATATATATGTGTGTGTATGTGTGTGGAGCCATGCTTCCACATCAATGGGCCGATGTCTTTTATTTATGCACCTTCTCTTAGACTTTCTACCCTATAAAGACGTAACCTCTTATGTTATATCTGATAAAAAGGAAAGAAAATAAATAAAAAACTTTAATCTTTCATAGCAATTGGGTTTACTTTCATAGGAAGAGTACGTTGGAGTAGTAGAGTAGTAATAATCCTGTTCATAAGAGCAGAAACCATTATCAACATAACTAGGATTAAAACCATAACAAGAGGCATTCGATGGTAATCATCCCAATAATTAAAATTGGGGCGATCATCCCAATCATAAGTGTTTTCAAAATGTGAAGGATAATTAGCCATTAAACTTTAGATTTTTTTCACAGGAGAAAACAACTGGACATCTGTAAGTGGTCAAATTGACCCTACAAAGTGATGAAAAGAAAATCAAAGAATCAATTTGGGCTGAAAAGTTTATCGTCGTCCTTGACAACGACGCCACTTTTGATGGATGTCGAAACCACAAAAATAAAACCAATTTAAAATTGTAGATAGCATTAAATTGGACCGATCCCACAGGGTCAGGTAAAATTATAATAACCTTACAACTAACAAGAACATGATAAGAAAACGATGACTTCTGTAAGTGACGATTATGACTTAACCAAGTGAACTGGAACTAACGAGTGAAAGAAAAATGGGTTCAAGACGGGGACGTTAACTCCAAATACTTCCATGCCTGTGTAAAACAGAGAAGACTACAAAACAAGATCCTGCCATTTACTGACCACTCTGGTAACCTGGTAGATAACGGGAATTAGGTACAAATGCATTTCCATGAAAACTATAAAAAAAAATTACTAGGCACGACAACATCTAGGGTTTCAGTTGATTGTGAAATTCTTAACTCAGGGCTCAAACTATCTGTATACCAGTAGATTCTCCTTATTAAGAATGTCACAAAAGCTGAAATCAAAGATGACAATTGAGCATAGAAATTAATAAATGTACCGGACCAGAGGGATTTAATCGTAGTTTTTATAGAAATGGTTGGGATTTAGTAGGAGATCATGTAAGTAATGTTGTTATAGGGTTCTTTCAGTCTAGGAAACTATTGAAACAATTAAATGCCACACAGATATGCTTGATCCCAAAAAACACAAACCCTAGAGATGCTATAGAGTATCATCCCATAGTGTGTTACAATACTTTGTACAAGATTATCACTAGAATAATTGGTAAAAGATTTAGTCTAAGTCCTACCAGAAATGATTGATCTTAACCTAAAGAAATTAAATTATCTTTTTCTCTCTCTAAATTTTTTTCTCCCGCTTCTCTCAAGATTTTGTCCTGAAACCCTAATTCTTTTTCACTTTTCCCTATGGTGGCTAGCCGCCCGCCGGACGAGACACGTCAAAAATTGTCGATCCCCGGCCCTCTTTTGCACAAATTATAGGTGGATCGAAGCCAATTCTTAAAGCTAACAAAGAATCTTCGGACAAAGAAACATCTTTCATCAAATCAGAGCCTAAAATCTTCAAGGGAGAACCTGCCTTCCTTCTCACACGTGAAGAAGATGAAAAACTTGCTGCGGCCTTCAGATTATCATTGGTCGGAAAATTCTCAAAGGGCCGGCCACGAATGGATTTTTTATGGCAGAGCTTTCATACTATAGGTTTCAAAGGTAATTTTTCAATTGGTATGATTGATCATAGGCATATCCTGATTGGATTTGATTTGGAAGAGGACTTTCAACGTTACTGGATGAAGGGTTTTTGGACCTTTGATTCTCATTTTATGCGAGTTCTTAAATGGACATCGGATTTTAATCCGGATCATGAATCATCAATTGTTCCAATTTGGATAGGTTTTGAAGGATTACCGGTGCACAGATTTAACGAGGAGTATTTGAGGAAGATTTCCAGCATTATAGGTAAACCTTTGAAAATTGATGTTCCAACACTTACCCTTTCCAGACCTTCAATTGATCGTGTCTGCGCTGAAGTTGATTTATTACACAAGTTACTGTTGCGTATTCGGCTGGGTACGGAGGAAAGCTCTTATTTTCAGACAATTACATACGAGAATTTGCCTGAATATTGTGTACAATGCAGGAAGATTGGTCATTCAGCAACTTCTTGTCGCCACCGAAAGGATTTCGTCTCAAAGGAAGCCAAAACACAATCCAACCCTAAGAAAACAGCTACTAAAGTGGCTATTCAACCTGCGAAAGCAAAAACAGAAAGTTGGAAACAGAAAGAAACGTCAGTCATAGCTCCAGAAAAGCCCTTAAACCAACAACTGAGCCATCACCTTCGGGTTTGTCGATTCAAGAGAAGGAAAAGATTCCAATTGATGTTGAAACGCAAAGTCCAAAGGTACAGATTATAAGTTCAGCACAACGGAAGATATCCAAAGAGCATCTAAATGTCATTTTAGAGAAGAGTTCGGAGAAGCTTCATCCAATAGAATCTTGGGAAACAGAAGGGGTTGCGCAAATTGGAAATCAGGAAAATCCAAAAACAGAGCTTGCTGTTACAAAGCACCTCGCTGTCATCAAACAGCACGCTGTTTCGACGCGAATCGAAGAACACACTTCCCCTTTGAAATTGTCGGATCGATTTGATGTTCTTGCGGAGCTAATAGTTAATGACAAGCCAAATGATGTCTACAATGATGAAAAAGGTATCATGAATGGTGTAGAGGTGGAGGGAGAACTAGTATCCACTAAAGTTTCGGATAATAATTTGGGAACTGAAATGCAGTTGGAACATGAGGTTTTGGATAATAACTCTATTGGATCCAAAACTGATTCGGATGAACACATTCTAGCACATCGGGGATCTGTATCTGATGATGAACAGGAACAAAAGAAACGAGGCAGACCTCGAGGCTCAAAGAAAGTCACATTAATTCCTGGAACTGAAACTCGTCGTTCGACGAGAATTCAAGGTGATATCAATCCAACTTTTTAAATGAATAGCTGCATAATATGGAATGTGCGTGGTATTTCAAATAAGGCTACACAGCTTAGGCAAAAAAATCTCATAAACATGCATTCAATTAAATTTCTAGTAATCTTAGAACCCATGGTAGATAATTCTCGGATAGAAGAATCTAGATGCTTTTTTAATTTTGATTTTGCTTTGTGTTTAACTTGGAACAAAGTTTGATTTTTTTGTTCTTCTGTTTTTGCATCTGTTTTGCTAGGGGGCTCGGAGCAAGTTTTACATATCTAAGTATCATTCCCGAATTTAGCGGATCGAGTGGTTATTTCTTCTGTATACGCTAAATTCACAAGAAATGGACGGAAAGAGCTATGGAGTGAATTGTAGAATTTTTATGATATCCGCACCTCTCAACCTTGGATGATCGCTGGGGATTTTAATGTTATTCGCTCTATGGATGAGTATGACGGGAGTTCAGAACAAGAGCGTGCTTCCATGGATGATTTTAATGATTTAATTATGGCTTGTAATCTGGTGGAACTTCAAACGCTGGGCTCGGATTTCACTTGGGAAGGGAATCGTTCTAATGGTCGAGTGCTCAAAAAATTGGACAGACTTCTATTTTCTTCCGAATGGTTATCCAAGTTTCCAAAAGCTACTATTCAACACCTAAATCGGGTGCAGTCGAATCATAGTCTGATTCTATATCAATTCAGTATGGATTTGGATACCAAGCCAAGACCCTTCAGATTTCAAAATATGTGGACAAGACGGCCGGAATTTTTTAATTTGGTGCGTAGTAATTGGGAGCAAGGAATTGGATCAACAGGAATGCTAGCTTTTTCTTTCAAATTGAAACGTCTGAAGATGTTTTTAAAAGAATGGAACAAAAACAATTTCGGTGATGTTTTTCAGAACTTACGAAATGCGGAGGATGATGTACAGCAAAAAGAGCTATTCTATGAAGTTTCGGCAGATCCCATTGATCGAACCAACTTACAAGAAGCTAAAGCTCAACTCCTCTCTAAGCTGTGAGAGCGGGACGATTTATGCGTCAAAAAATGAAGATGAAGTGTCTTAAGGAAGGAGATGCCAATACTGCCTTTTTTTCATGCCTCTTTGAAAGAAAAACATGCGAAACAAGGCATCTATAAAATTCAGGCAAGAAATGGTGCATGGTTGAATGAAGTTACTGACATTGAAAAAGAAGCAGTGGATTTTTTCCAAACTTTGCTCACTGATGATGATCCTATAGGGAGAGATGAAGCGCAAGAATGCCTGTTACAGCACATTCCTCAAATTATTACGGATGGGGACAATGATCATCTTCTACGCTGTGTTACATTGGATGAACTTAAGCAAGCGATTTTTGATCTTGATCCAACAAGCGCACCGGGATCTGATGGAATCGCTGGATTCTTCTACTTTTGTTGCTCTCATTCCAAAAAAGGCGTCGGTATCGAGTTTTGCGGATTATCGCCGAATTAGCCTGTGCAATTTTCTTAACAAAGTTTTTACGAAAATCACGACATAGAGGCTGAAACCGCTGCTTGACAAGGTTATCTCAAAAGAACAATCGGCCTTTCTAGCGGGAAGAGATATCATGGATAATGTTCTCCTTACTCAGGACTTAGTACAATTTCTGGATAATAGAACATTTGGAGGAAATATCATTCTCAAATTTGATATGATGAAGGCTTTTCATCGAGTATCTTGGAGTTTTCTCAAGGCGATCCTGACTGCTTTTGGTTTCCATGCGCATTTCATTCAACTCATTATGACTAATCTTGGAGGTAGCTGGTTTTCGATGTTGATTAATGGAAGTCCAAGCGGTTTTTTCCAGGCTACTCGGGGTATTAAACAGGGTGAACCGTTATCACCATATCTTTTTCTCTTAGTGCCGGAAGCATTGACGAGAAGAATGGAATTTTTAATATCTTTGGGTCGAGTTGCGAGCTTTGGTATGCCAGCTGGATCATTACCGATATCCCACTTGTGTTATGTAGATGATTTGATAGTGTTCACTAAAGGCTCTACAAGGTCACTTGAGGCTTTGAATGATTTTTTTCTAGATTTATGAATTAGCGACGGGTCAAAAAATCAACAGAAGTAAAAGTGATTTCCTAATCTCTGATGGTGCAAGCAATGGTCAAGTGTCTCCCGTCCAAAGAATTCTAGGAATGCAAAAGGGTACACTTCCAATGAGATACTTAGGATCCAAAATATTCAAAGGAAGAAAGGTGATTAATCACTTCCAATATTTACTCGATTCTTTGGATGCTAAGTTATTCAACTGGCGCAATAAGCTACTGTCGAATGGGGGACGTTTGGTTTTAATCAAGCATGTCCTTGCTGCAATCCTGGTCCACACTTGTGCTGCAATTGAACCACCGAAAACCATCATTCAGACCATAGAGACTAGATGTCAGAACTTTTTATGGGGTGAAACGGATCAAAGTATGAGAAGACATTGGAGATCATGACGGCGGCTATCCTTCCCGACAGAGGAAAATGGAATTGGACTTAGGAAATTTCAAGATGTTATTGATGCATTTGCTGCAAAGTTATGGTGGAATTTGGGCAAAATTTATGGCTTCTTTATCACATACTACTCGGAACAGAACAACAAGCTGGTGCCGGATTGTTAATATTGATGATCGCGCATCAACTTTTACAACGATTCGTTTAGGCCAAGGTATGATTTCTTTTTGGTTTGATCCATGGTCTGATCTTGGTGTTTTTTTGCAGATTAAACCAGCAACCGCGTCCACCTCTCCCTCAGCTCACAGTCAAGGAATTTTTAGAGAATAAGCAACATATTCTGCCGGTAATAGCTGATTCTTTGTCCGGCGAACAAATAACTCTCCTAAATCACCAAGCAGCCGCTTTCAGATCTTCACACGAGCAAGATATATTCTTTTCGCAGCCCTCTCAGACGGGTTCCTTCACAATTGCCTAGACTTATCATGCTTTAAGGGAAAAACAGCACGGAAATTTCTGGATAAAAGCATTATGGAACAAAGTGATCCCAACCAGAATTTATTTCTTTTGTTGGAGATTTTTTAATCACTTACTACCTCTGTCTGATACGATCCTTAAATTTGGAATTTATGCTCGACCTTCTCGATGTCCCCTCTGTTTAGAGAATGAAGAATCTATTGATCATGTCTTTTTGAGCTGCTCTGCCGCGGTTAGGGTTTAGAAATTTTTTGTGTACCACATGAATTTGCAGCTACGAAAATCTGGAAATCTTTGGGCTTTCATCAAAGTTTGGTTATCTTGGGGGAGTTTCTCTACAGCAAAAAAGACTATAATTATAACACTACTGGCTTTTATTTTTTGGGAATTGTTGAAAGCTCGAAATTCGTCGGTGTTTGAAGGTAAAAGATTTCATTTCTTTTCTTTTTTATCTGCGATTAAAACTAACATTTCAGGTATGATGAGGGTTCATAACTTGAGAGCTGGATCACGACTAGAACATCATCAATTGGAAGAATTTTTTCAAGTAAAGGTTCAACTTCCGAAAGTAAGGATGTTTATGATGATATCTTGGAAACCTCCAGACCCTGGGAATTTATTCTAAATACAGACGGATCTGCAAAAGGAAGTCTAGGTGAAGTAGGATGGAGCTATGTGGTTCGAGGTGAGCATGGAAGACTAGTTCATGCAACATGCGGCTACTAAGGGCAAAATTTCAGTTTTAAAGCTGAAATTCAAGGTATACTTGAAGGTCTCAGATATTGTGAATTGCAAGATCTCCCCGGAGTCCAAGTGCAATCAGATAATAAAATTGTTGTGGACCTTCTTCTCAAAGGTACAGATTTCCCATGGAAATATTTTGCAGAACTAACAGAGATTTTCAGCATTCTGAGGAAGCATTATGCAATACAACATGTTTTTCGTGAAATCAATGTTGTGGCAGATTTACTTGCAAAAATGGGATCAAATGGTATACATATAAACTGTGATTCTTACCTGGCTATGCCATCTAAGATTCGTGGTTTAATAATGTTAGACCAAAGATTGTTTCCATACATTAGGATTAGATAAGATTTTTATTTTACTTTAGGAAAGGAACTTTAAAAGTATTGAACTGATATGGCATTATGCTTAATCTTTGTAAATCAGTTCATAGTATCTTTATTTGAAAACTGAACTGTCAGGGATTTTTAGTAAAATCTTTGTAAGACAGTTCATAGCTCTAGATTGTTCATAAATCGTCATGGAGTTTCTAGAAACTTTTGTAAGAGGATTTCTTTTTTTTTGGGTAAGTCTTAAGCACTGCCTTGTGTACTCTCTTTTATAAATTAATAAAATCGGGGTCCTCCCGCCAGGTACTGCCCTGGATTCTCCTAAAAAAAATGATTGATCTTAACGATGGAGCTTGTATCAAGGATAGATCAATCCTCCACAATGTGTTGTTAATGCAGGAGTTGATTAGGCTTTATAGAAGGAAAAGCGTAAAACCAAGCTATTTGATGAAAGTAGACCTAAAAAAGGCCTTTGATTCTATTCATTGGCATTTTTTTTTATAGAAAATGTTACATCAACTAGGATTCCCACCAAAATTCATAGATTGGGTCCTAGAATGTACCAGCTTTACGCTTAATATAAATGGATAGAATGTTTGGTTTTTCCAAGGCAAGAGGGGCCTAAGGCAAGGAGACTCTATGTATCCATTACTTTTTGTCATTGTGATGGAATATTTAACTAGACTGTTTAAGAAGGAGATAGAAAAAGGAAGCTTCAGCTTCACCTATATTGTGAGAAATTCAGGATAGTTAAGTTGTGCTTTGCTGATGACTTAATAATCATCAATCAAGCTGATCTGCCCACAATCAGAAGAATTAAGACAGTATTTAAGAAGTTTGAAGAAACTATAGGGCTCACTGTTAATACACAGAATCTGATATTTGTTTTGGAGGCATTAAAGAATAAGTTTAGACTCAGATTCAATAAATAACGGGATTCAAATAAGTACCTTCCCTATCAGGTACCTTGGTGTTCCAATTTCTCCTTCAGCTTGG